ACCAAGCCAGATGTTTTCCTCCTTCTCCCTTGCTCGCTCTCTTTTCATTGCCTTTGTACCTTTATTGTTATTTTACTTCTCAGTTTCTTGTCATTTCTTGCTGTTCCTTTGATGATCTCCTCACTTTTTGTTTCTTTCTATGTATTTGCTGCTTTCTAACTCATACTTATTTCAGGAGCAGAAATAAAATATAAATATATAATTGATATGGAATAAGGATAATTTAATAGTATAGTTTTTTCTTCTTCTTCTTCTTCTTCTTCTTCTTCTTCTTCTTCTTTAGTATGTTGAGAAGAATGAGGTTACAAAACCCTTTCCTTTTTTCCTAACTATACGACCCCCCATTATGAATTACACAATAACAAAAAGATAATCTCTATATAATCAACTACTTATTCCACTTACTTATAAAATGTTCTCTCTTTTTTGCAGGACGAGAAGAATCAGATCCTAACAACTAACGTCTGGCTAAATTTTGTAAGTAAACAATTTCTTCTTCTTTTATGAAGCAAAGTTAAGTGGTCCGGTACTTTTATTCCTTTCTTTAGCATCATACAAACAGGTAAACATACTGAGGAGAAAAGGAGGAGGTTCACAATAATGGGAAGAGAGTCAATTTGAGTTGATAAAAATTGTAGATAGATATGTAGTCAGATATATAGATAAGTAGGTGGAGAGATAGATGAACAGATCTGTCAGTAGATAGATAGGACGATTGATAGATAAGGAAATAGAGAGACATTTATATGCAGACAGATAGATGAATGATAAAAATAGACAAATCTATATATAGAAAAATAGACAGACAGATAGATATGCAGACAGACCGATAAACATAAAGATAAACAAGTGGATAGACAGGTAGACTTAAAGATATGGGTCAAAGCAGAAAAACAGGTATATATAAACAGATATATTAAAAAGCAGGATATAGGGAGAGCTAAAGATAGTCATAGAATAGCAGATCTGTCGATAGATAGATAGGACGATTGGTAGATAAGGAAATAGAAGACATTTATATGCAGACAGATATGAATAAATAGACAAATCGATATATAGAAAAATAGACAGACAGATAGTGCAGACAGACCGATAAACATAAAGATAAACAAGTGGATAGACCTTAAGATATATGGAGATATAAAAGCAGGATATATGGAGATATAAACGCAGGATATATGGAGATATAAAAACAAGATATAAGGAGATTAAAAAGCAGGATATATGGAGATATAAAAGCAAGATATAAGGAGATATAAAAGCAGAATATAAGTAGATATAAAAGCTCACATAGTGTAACAGCCAATACCAGCAACCTGCATCTCCTCATGGTGGAAGTAGCATCCAGCACAGACCGGGATGAACTTTCACTGGGCACTTCTCTTATGGGCTCCAACAACAACAAAGGACTGCCCAGTTCTTCGCCTCTCTGACCCCCCCTCCCCCACCCACCCCACACCCCACCACCCCCATAGACCACCGCTCCACCTTAACCACCCACCCATACAGTAGACATCCACACCCACTCACACACTTCATAAAGAGATAAGACCCCAGCAAGTAGTAGATGCACCCCATCTACTACAATGGTGACCTCCTGGAGTGACCCAATTTGGATAGTATGCGGACCTGCAAGTTGCTTGTGCCTGGCTACTACAAGTCAACAGATATCAGTGAAAAGAAGTTAGTAGACAAGTTGAAGACTGGATAAAGTAATTGATATTTAGATAAATGTGTGAACAGGCAAATAAATAGTCATCTAAATAGGCAAGCAGACAGAGAGACAGACAGATAGATAGATTAGTAGATAGATAGACAGACAGACAGTTTAATAGACAGGCAGAAAAGGCAGGGAGTAAGAAATATACAAATCTTTGGAAAGGAAACCGGGAAAGGAAAACAAAGTTGGGTTTTTTTTCTTTCCTTTCTTCTCTTATTAATGGGTGTGCTCTTGGGTACAGTTGGGCGTGTATGTAAATGTAATAATAAAACGCAAAGAAATTGCCTTAGTTTTGATTATTTGTTGATGATCCAGTTCAAATAACAAAGACTTCTTTATAAGTAAGTTAATTCTATAAGTGTGGGATTACTTACTCCAATTATTATTATTATTATTATTATTATTATTATTATTATTATTATTATTATTATTATTATTTATTATTTATTATTATTATTATTGTTATCAAAACAATTCAATTAGAAGACAAAGAGACCGATACATTTCCTTGATTACTTTATCATTGACTAATCAAACACGCTGTAATTCTTAAGATCGTATAAAAATTACTAACTAAAGAGCTCTCGAAGATACATTTAAGACTAGATAAGAAACAAAAAAAAAAAATAATAATAAAACAATCAACACACGATGTAATTCCGTAAACACACATAAACAAATGTGCTTCCTAAGATAAATAGTTAATATAAAAGGATCGTTTGGGAGGAGCTGCCTTGCTTCGTTCTATAATGGCAGTGGCCGGAAGTGTATACATATTTA